TTATAAATATATTTGAATGTGAAAAATGAATTAATAAGTGGATACAATGTTGACTATGCCAGCGTTGCTCTTGTGATATTATTTTTAAGTGAATAAGGTAGTCCAATTTTTCAAAAGTTCATCAACTTCTCAATCATGCCACCATTGCATAAGCAAGAGAAAATTCGATTATTCAACAAGGTGTAAATGAATAAGTAAGATAGCCCCCAGAACAACAAATTAATAACACAAAACGCGAAAAATTACACTGAAACGATACTCCGAAAGTTCGCCTATATTTGATTTCGCGGCAAATGCTAAAAAATTCCAACAAGAAAAAGCAGTAGCATTTCACAAATCCTACCTTAGTGTAAGAAAAGTAAGTTGCATACCTTTCATTCGTATTCACGCTAATAAATTCCCTCTGATTGCCACGTTTCCTGAGCAATTCTGAAACATGCATTCGCTTTTTAGTACGATTGCAAATTACAAGTTAGCAAACCTTTCCACCGTTTGATTTCCATGTTTGCAATATCCATTTCGTTAAATTGTAATTGAGTTAGGGGTGTTCCTTTCATTTCTTCAATGTTTTCTCGAAATTTCCAAAGCATCATCAGCACCATGGTAAAATCAGTTATGGAGAGTACGCCGGTGAGATTCATAGTAGTCGAATCGGCAACAAGACCCGTACGAGTTGCTAAAATCTGGGAAGCTTTTTTAGAGTGTGCGAATTCTTTGAAAGAGTACTCACAGTTAGAAACAAGTGCATAAAATGCTTTTCGCACTGACAAATCATCAGTGAAAACTACTACTTTGTTGTTAGTTGCCATCGCTTGATAGCACTGCGAGAGCTGGAGGAAGTGGGTGTACACGAGATCAGGTTCATCTAAATAAAAACATTAGACTTGTAAGCGCTGAAAGAAAGTGCTGAAGTATTTTCAGATGTTGCACTTTGAAGAAATTATCATGAAAGGAAGCAAAGAATTCTGCGCAAATAGCCTGTCGCATGAATTTGTCTTTTCAATCGGATAGCGCATTATTCTATTGGTAAGCCAACAAAATGTATTGAAAAAAGTATCTAATTCTTTCGTTTTATCGTTATGAGAGGCTATTAGGTTGGCGCGAAAGTTTTTGCGTAATTCAAACGAAATTCAATAAAATTCCAAATACCAAACTCAATTTCATAGTTCGGCATTTGAAGTAGAAGACTTACGCTCCATAACAAATGTTTAAGCTTAACATTCTATAAGTTAGCCGCCGAGATCGAAGCTTCCAAAATGGCGTCACAAATTTTGAGATTTTGATTCTGCTAAGGCCGGGCACTATATAAATTCTGGCAAACTGTGTTTCTGTGAGAACCTAAAGCGATAAGAGGTTTACCCCGTAGAATGATGATTCTCACAAATTTTTTTCTATTTGCATCTCCATACGAGATTGAAGCATGCCAAGATAACGTATGGACTTTTGCTAAGTCAGAAACTTTTTCAGATTTCTTAGGGCCAGCTGGCGGCCCTCCGCGAATCATTGGCAGCAAACTTGAAACCGCA